TATTAAGTTTATCCTATATTATTATTATTATTAAGTTTATCCTATATTATTATTATTATTAAGTTTATCCTATATTATTATTATTATTAAGTTTATCCTATACTTTATTCTTAGTATCTCCCATCAATAGGTTGCTGGATCTAGTAACCCGACTTGGAAAGTCATCTAATGTGCAGTTCTAAACAAACGGCCAATATTGAACAATGAAAGTTAAAATATTTCAAAACAACTAAAGTTTCCAAAGCACTGAAGGAGGTATTGACAAGTCGCGTATCTTGAGCACTATTAATATGTGTATGCATGGAAAAGTTCGTTAAGCATGCGAAAATCATAAAATCACAAAAACAATTCACATACAAAACATTCTAAAATAATTCCATTCTTTTGCTCATCATTTCCTTTTATTTTATGATTATATATATACATGATATGATTATATGATATCATGTATATATTATATGTATATGATTATACATGATATTAATATGTGCACTAATTACAAATGCATCTTCTAAGTACATATATCTATGCATTAATACATAGATCCAACGAGCAGATTAAAAGCATTGATGACCAACCAGAACCCGAAGATAAATGTCCTGATGTGGTTCCTCCAAGAAATCTCACACCAGGTAATATGATCTATTCGTCTTACAACGTAGTTATTACTGGTGGCCTTGGGAGAGTACCTTTCTGAAATAATCAACATAGTTTATAGTTTTACATAACTAACTTTTTTCTGGCGGAAGGTTTCGGATATTTGTGTAATTTGATTATTTGTAAGATGTGTTCTGCATCCTATGTCGAAAAAAAAACGGAAAGTCATCACCTACTAATCTTATATTAATTAGAAATTAATTATAATTACTTAATGAAACACAATTGTTTAGTTCTTTGGCACTTTATTGACATTTATTTATGGTTTTGATAAATGTCAAATTATAACTACTAAAAATAATATTTAATAGAGCTACATCCTGTTTTAGGCCTTTCTACATAGAAGCCATGATATCTTTTGTACATATTAGGTCGTCAAGAAACTATTGTCGAGTTTTTGAACACTTTCATTAACCATCCCCCTCAAAACGTACATCACGTATAATAGTTAAACAAACCGCCTAAATGTCTCGGTCACGTTAGTGTAAATTATATAATGTATAAAGTATAGTATACTGTAATCCCTTATAGTGTTAGTACACGACGAGACACACTTTCGGCGTGTCATGTTGTTTGAATACAAGAAGGGAAACAACGCCTCTGTAGCTACAAATAACATCGAAGAAGTTTAATGAAATGCTTTGAACGTTCATAAGTATCAACGATGGTTCAGCAAATTTCGTTCAGGTGACTTTAGCCTTAAAAACTGTGATGGCAAAGGCGACATGTTGGAATTGATTCCCTGAAGCTTGTGCATTGGCCCTGAAATTGCGTGTCTCTCATGAAACAATACGTAAACATCTAAGGAATATGGGAAAACTCCATAAAGGATATGTTTGG